AGTGATAGAGGAAAGGATCAGGAGAAGTATAGTGGATAGATCAAGGCAACTGGAGATGTCGATTGACATTACATTTGAATATTTGGAGATTATAGCTCTCAGGGAAACTGGAATTGGGAAGGGAGTTCCACAGGCGAGAGGTGCGAGATATGAAGCTATTAGAGTAGAAGAGACGGCTACATTTAACAGTTTCAGCAGTGAAAGGGTGAGAGCGGGATGCAAGCCTCGTAGGGCGCTTGAATTCATGAAGTCTGGGAACCAGCGCAAGCAGCTCATCCGAGCAATTACCAGGAAAGTATTTGTAAAAAAGACAGAGGGAGGCGACGGCACGTCTGTGAGAGAGCAGCTGCAGACGAGATGCCAGATCAGGGCTATTTACATTGCATATCAGTCTCTGGATCTTATCAAATATATGTGGAGATACTGCAAAATGCCTTGTTTTTATGAGTTATCTAACTTCTATTTATTTTTTTTTTACTTCCTCTCTTTTCGATTCTTATTTTTCTTTTTTGTTTCCCTTTTTCTTTGCACGCAGTTGATTTCCTGATTATTTTCTTTCTTTCTTATTCTTTTCTTTTTCTTTTTTTTTAATTATTTCTTTTTCGTCGCCTTTCTTTTGGCTCTTCTTTTTCGGTTTTCTTTCATACTTTCTTTCTTTTTTTTTTTTTTCGCCTATTCTGCCAGTCTCTTTTCCCGATCGCGTTTCTCCCTATATAATTAGAAGAACCTCACAAAACAAAAAAGAAAAGAAAAGAAAAGAAAAATAATCTTAATGCTAGGCCTTGACAATTCTTTTTATCTCTTTTGGATCTTGCCTTTGGTTTATTTTTTTTTAATTCTTTTCGCTAATGTTGGCATCTTTACGCTGACAGGATTTTGTAACGGGATTCTCTTCCAGTGTTACTGACACATCTGTGGCTTGCATTTCAATAATGTCAGAACCAACTCACCAACATATAATAAAGTGAAAAGAAAATCACACGAAGAAATCAAGAGAGATCAACAATTTCCGTCCGAAACTTTTCAACTGAATATATCATATATGTATTAGTTAAACTATAGTAATGGTAATATTAGTCGTTTCCCTATAAGGAAACATTTGGCATTCATTCACCGAGCAGCCAAGTACGGATGTTGGTTGAAATTTGTCAAATCTGTCTGTTTAAACAATTTTACATGTAAATATCTTTCTCAAGTCCCTTTCTGTTTCCTTCCTAACCTTTTGTTTGAAGTAATGTGGAATGTCAACATCTTCATTAAGAGATTATTTTCTATTTGCGTTACAGGAGGCATCCATTTTAGTTGTTACCCACTTGAAAGCCCTCAATGATGTGTTTTCTGCCATCTTGTACCGTTCTTTGCTTGGGATTCTGTAGCACCAGACCCTCCAGACTTCACACGGTAAAAGCCATTTTTGACCATTGTTCTTAGAAAGCGGTTGTACACAGTTGAGAGTTTACATATTTCTGAACGGGATTGGCATGGGGAATGGCATCCTTATGAAATTATCAAAGAACGCTGTTTAAGAATATGACTAGAACTTTCAGATTATTGTTTTAGTTTTGTAACAATTTTCAATTTGGGGTGAAACTACACCTAGCACAGCCTATTCTATGTTCGATTTACTTTTCTCCTGTACTATTTTTTAAATGGTCTATGAATACATATATATTTCTAGCGTCTTATATGCACGTGTTTATCGTTGCTTGGAAATCATCCATGTAAACAATAACAGGCTATCATCACTGTCTTGTCCGTATATTGCTTAATATGTTGTACAGTAATTGAAATCTTTGATAATGGCTTATGTAAGCCGAAAGCTTAGATTGGATTAAAAAATATGGATCAATATTGTGATTTTCTTTCATCTTTTAATTATAATGTTATTAAGCTTATCAGACGTTATGAAAAGTATTTACATAAAATAAATAGACAACACTTGTCTATATGATTTAATGAAACATGTATGAATATGTATATATATATATATATATATATATATATATATATATATATATAGTTTAAGTTTCGTAAGAATTTGTTATTTTCGATGAAACTGCACCTAGCGCAGCATATTCTATGTTCAATTCATTTTTTTTCTATACTAATTCTAATTTTTATAAAATGATCCATATATATATATATATATATATATATATATATATATATATATATATTGATAGTAAATATCTACGGAATGTTTCTTATATAAAAATTGAGGTAAAGACATTTGTATTTTTTATATAATTGGTTGACGCGTGCAATATATATATAAGAGTGTACATACGTGTATATATAGTAAATATATGTTAAATAATAATAATAATAATAATAATAATAATAATAATAATAATAATAATAATAATAGTAAGAAGAAGAAGACGAGGAAGAGAATCGCCCGGACATCGTGATTAAAGACAACAAAGACAAAATGTGCCTTCTTATTAAGATGGTAGTCCCTGCAGACTGCAATATATCATTGAAGATCTTCAAAAAAAAAACTATCAAAATACAATGACCTTGCAACTGAAATCTCAAAATTGGCACATCGAGACATTAACAATTCCAGTTGTAGTTGGAGCCCTGGGATTGATTGGAAAATATTCTCATGGACTCATTGAACGGATTCCTTGTAGTCCAAAGAAATACACAAAATTATTCTCACAAGTACATCCCACACCTTACGAAGGGCTTTATCTATGCAAAATATGTGCGTTTTTCTTTTCAAAACTGATCAGTGGAAAATGTCATGATGCCATTTCTGACCTTAGATCTCTGGTCGGGACCCGAAAGAAATGAGTACACACCAGAAATCAAAGGAAATATAACAATGATTTTAAAAATAATATCTTAAAAAACTCCCAAAAATATAAAGGTCTTGAAGTGGAAATCTCAAAAATGTGGCACATGAGGACACCAATAAAACCTGTCGTGGTTGGAGCCCTCGGATCCATTGGAAAAAGTCCCCATAGACTCGTCGAAAGGATTCCTGTTGGCCCATGACAGAAATACAAAAGAAAAATGTTCTCACAAGTACAGCCCACACATTACGAAGAACTTTATCTATGTAAAATGTTTTTGATCTTAGTTTTTTGGGTTTTTTTTTACAAAAATGATTCTGGAAGAAAGAGAATTCCTCAAAGGAGAAGTGCTAAACAGAAAATTATGACCATAGAATTTACGGTTACACTTAACAATTTCAAGAGCAAAATGATGAAATCTAAATTACTTAGTGAATGAGTAAGATTCGAGACAAAACATACAAATTTCAATGGACTTTGACAAGGTGTAACTTCAAGGGAGACTGCACAGGATCTTTAGTTATGGGAACACTGGTAGAGTCCTCTCCGTTATAAAGTCCTTCCTAACGAGTAGGTCGCTGAAAGTAGTTATTAGCTGTCAGTGCTCAGAGGTCCAAGTGATCAGCACTGGCGTCCCCCAAGGTTTGCTTCTCGGTCCAAAACTGTCCCTACTCTACATAAATGATCTGCTTAAGAGTATACTCCGATCATTTGTGAATATCTATGTTGATGATACAACAGTATAATGATCTGCCTAAGAATATATTCCGATCATTTGTGAATATCTATGTTGACGATACAACGGTATAATGATCTGCCTAAGAATATACTCCGATCATTGTGTATATCTATGTTGACGATACAACGGTATAATGATCTGCCTAAGAATATACTCCGATCATTTGTGAATATCTATGTTGACGATACAACAGTATAATGATCTGCCTAAGAATATACTCCGATCATTTGTGAATATCTATGTTGACGATACATCAGTATAATGATCTGCCTAAGAATATACTCCGATCATTTGTGAATATCTATGTTGACGATACAACGGTATAATGATCTGCCTAAGAATATACTCCGATCATTTGTGAATATCTATGTTGACGATACATCAGTATAATGATCTGCCTAAGAATATACTCCGATCATTTGTGAATATCTATGCTGATGAAACAAATCTATATGGGTGCACCTTCAAAATTCTAAATGACCAGAGCTTGGCAGATGATCATTTTTTTTCTGAACGAACTCTAACATCGCAGTAGGAGACAAACTGGCGTTTTGTTATTCAATGACCCGAAAATGAAACAAGTGAAATTGTTGCCAATTAGACCCAGATCTTCCATCGACACTGGTGAATGAATGTTCCTTCACGGTAGCCCCGTCCCTTGAGCGCCCTTTGGGACAAACTCAACCCAATCAATTGGAACTCGTACATAGGAACCATTGCTGAAACTGCTGAGACAAGGGTCGGTTATCTGTAGACGATTGCTCGTGCTATCCACCAGATCAGGCGGAAAAATGGAGGACTGCTGACATGTATGGGCACTCATATCTTTTCTGTCCCGAAAGAGTTCAAAAGCGTCTCCACGTCCTTGTGGGTGATGAATTATTCATTTCCCCTAGATGAATCTTCACAATCATCTCGCTGCTCTATCGTGATTTCCAGGTAAGTGTATAGACGAGCCCCATTACATAGTTCCACCCGTTCTGCACTTCGTGTCTAAGACCCGCCACGAAACGCTCATTTTGCTTAATCCCTCCCTCATTCTTTCGTCATCCACAGGTGAGACGTAAGTTCGCCTCAAGCAGCTACTTCCAACGAACCGCTGATTTGTTGAAACAACTCCCAACTGCGATCACTACAATTTTAACATGTTCAAGTGTAGGGTCAACAGTTATCGTCACCACATATGCGCATAATCCTTGCCCCTTACTCTGTAACCCTCTGTCCCGAATGGCTCTCGGGCATTGTACTGTGTGAACATCACTGTGAAAATATATGCCCCAAATTACAGAACGCGTAGTGAAATTAATAACAGGAATTGATAGCCAGAGGAAAATCTCTCGCCAAGGTTAACCACTGAGATATTTTTCAATATTTACCATTCTGTGTATTTCTTTGTTCTTTTCTTTCGTCTTTTTTATTTCTGTAAAGAAAAGCTAAAAACACCTTAAATATTATTTCACCAAAAATAGACTTGGATTGGAAAAAAAAGAAAGAAAGAAAACAAAGATAGGCTGGGAGAAGAAAGGAAAGGAAATCAAAGTAGTGGGAATGACGCAAAATAAGAAAGAAAGAAAGAAAGAAAGAAAGAAAGAAAGAAAGAAAGAAAGGAAACAATGTGAGGCTGGCAGAAGAAAGGAAAGGAAATCAAAGTAGAGGGAATGACACAAAATCAGAAAGAAAGAAAGAAAGAAAGAAAGAAAGAAAGAAAGAAAGAAAGAAAGAAAGAAAGAAAGAAAGGAAAAAATGAACTGGCAGGAGAAAGGGAAAGGAAATCAAAGTAGAGACTGGCAGGAAATCAGAAAGAAAGAAAGAAAAAAAAGAAAGAAAAGAAAGGGAATGAAACAAAAATCAAAGAAAGAAAGAAACAATGAAAGAAAGAAAAAAAAAGAAATCAAAAAGAGGGAATGACACAAAATCAGAAAGAAAGAAAGAAAGAAAGAAAGAAAGAAAGAAAGAAAAGAAAAGAAAGAAAGAAAGGAAACAATGTGAGACTGGCAGGAGAAAGAAAAGGAAATCAAAGTAGAGGGAATGACACAAAATCAGAAAGAAAGAAAGAAAGAAAAAAAGAAAGAAAGAAAGAAAGAAAGAAAGAAAGAAAAATATGAGAGGCTAGCAAAAGAAAGAAAAGGAAATAAAAGTAGACGTAATGATGGATAATCTTAAATAAATAAATAAAGAAAGAAAGAAAGAAAGACTGAAAAAATGAAAGAAAGTAAACAATGGGAGACTGGCATTCGAAAAACAACGAAACGGAAGCAGAGGGAATGCTGCATAATCTTAAATAAACGAAAGAAAGTAGCAACGAGAAAAATAATTTATAAAGTAAACAATGAAAGGCTGGCCGAAGAAATAAAAAGAAATAAAAGTATAGAGAAAAATCCATAATCTTAAAGAAAGTAAGAAAGAAAGAAAAAAAAAAGAAAGAAAGAAAAAAAAAAGAAAGAAAGAAAAAGAAAAGGAAGGAAAAAGAAAGCTAAACAACAAGACAAATAAAAATACGAAATGTAAAAGCGAGGAAGTAACTTAATTAAAAAAATATAGAAGAAAAATATTCGGAAGAATGAAAAAAAAGAAATTACGAAAAACGAAATTAGATGGAAAAAAAAGAAATAAATCATTAGAAAGAATGTTCTTCTGAAGATTTAATAAGCAGTAAAGTATCTGCTAAAAGAAAAGACAAAAACAATAAAAAATATTAATAAGCAGAAGAAAGAAAAGAGTAATCTTTAGGAGAAATTAAGCAAAGAAAAAAATTAAAATTAAAATATACAAGGGACTGAATGGATTATTTAGAAAATGCAATAAAAGAAAGAAAGAAAGAAAGAAAGAAAGAAAGAAAGAAAAAAAAAAAGAAAGAAAGAAATAGAAAAAAAGAAAGAAAAAAAGAAAGTGATACGATTGGAAGAAAGAGAAAGACAAAGAGAGGTGCAGAGAGAACGACATGTGCAATGAAAAGAGGGACATAAAAAGAGGCAGTGTAACAGAATAGTGAGAGAGTAACTTATCCAGTAGCGATGCAGATTAGTGAACCCGTCCTTCTCGGAAGGCGTTTTGTAATTGCGCATGCGTAAATCACTGAGGCCTGTTTGGCCTTGAATGTGAAATGCGAAAGCGAATTTGGGCACCTGGAGGTATTTGTTCGACGAGGCGAACTGCGACAGAAGGGCAAGATAAATAGCCCGCCCCACATGGGTTTAACTACCTCGCAAAAGCTTGCAATTCTTACAATTTTAAAAATTGTTCTACGGCACGCGTGTTAAAATAGTATTTAAGAAACAATAAAGAGTATACAGTTATTACATATTAGCATAAAATAACCTACCTAGGGCGATGAAACGTCAGGTTATTTCGAAATACTCCCCCTAGGTCCGTCATACAATTATCCTATCACTACTTCCACTTTTAAGATTACGCAAAGTTTTGTTTAGTGATTGCCATCAGCTGCGTCGTATTTTAAATTACGCCTATTGCGTTTCGAAAGGATTTATAGCTTTTGGGAAATACAAAGATCGTACATAATCAAAACACGGATTTGTTGAGCGTTATTTTAAAGACTGCAGTCTTTTATATATATATATATATATATATATATATATATATATATATATATATATATATATATATATATATATATATACCCTTGTGCAAAGTTCAAATTAACTGAAACAAAATGCATAATTCCGTTATTAATTACTTTGTTTCGTATTTTCTAATGGAGTGCACATGTTAGTACTTCGTATGTCCATTCCACGAAGTCGTTCCTTGCAGATTGACCACCGAATCTCAACTGGATTTAAATCAGGAGAGTTTCCGGGACAGTCTATAGTATTTTGATTTTCTCACTGGCAAATCTTGCCAGCGTGTTTGTGCAGTGTTATAATTTTCGTACGCTTCCTTGAAGTAACGTCCATTGCAGATAATGGTTGTAGGACAAATAATCGACAATCGAGACAATAGTGACTGAGCGTGATAAAAATCTGATGTTTTCAGGCCAAACGAATTTCATCATACACCTCGAAAATAGTTTCATATTTCAGCACACTGCAAATGACCTAATCCGAGGAAAAAAGAAAAAACGATTACACCTTGTCACTACAATGGATCTAAAACTGACCGTCTTTAAAAGAAAGGAAATTAAAGCGGTTGTTTGAATTAATTTGGTGAACGTTGTTTTACAGACAGCAGTTTTTGCCAAATGTACTTACACAGCAATTGAAGCATCTTTTCACTATTGTTAATGTTACGATCACACACTTTCAAAAACTCACAAAATGATATCACATTGCCGATTGAAGAATGTTTTCTCATGTCCAGAAACCTTATTAACGTGCATCAAACCTGATGAATTTTTAAAGCATATTCACCTAGTATAAGGCCCAAGAGCCACTTATGGTAGTGTTTTGCTATATGGGGTTGTCGTATGAACATATGATGAGGAAAGGGTAATAATTGCAGCTTATAAACATGAATCCGAGTGTAATGGTATTTGTAATAATAACCGTTTCCTTATAAGGAAACGTTTGACATTCATTTACCGAGCAGCCTGTGTTATTCTGTTGTGTTAAGGCTAACGGGCATATCACATTAAAACACTGGTTCCCGTACGATCAGCGAAGTTAAGCAACGGCGAGCCTGGTCATTACCAGAGTGACGACTTGGGAATATCAGGTGCTGTCATCTTGGACGTATGGGTGGTGTTATAGATAATGGCTTGGAATTGTTAATCGGAGAGTCGAGTTCCAATTCTTGCCTGGTTCGTTATATTCACTTACGCTCAAATATCCTTGGGAATGGTATGAAACCATCTCATCCCCCCAGCTATGGGTTAATTAGTAAGACATTTTTTCGCTAAAACTTTATTATCTCCAAAATATATTCTTATAATCTCAAAATATTTTCTGGCTTTAAATAATCTGCGAAAAGCTGATAAGCCACAGAAAACGAACCAGTAAATTTCAGGAGGTAACGGCTGACCCTAGACTCGAAGGAGTTAAGATTTCATTGTTCCGGGAAGCATCATCTCAAGATACTGTTTCATGAATTAGTTGTTTCGGGAAGAAGCTATCCGAATAGAACTCCCTTTTTACTGGTGGAATGCGAAGGGAATATAAATGGGGCACTTCTGTGTACATGTCATGGCGGGTTTTATCTGTAATTGTTTGATCTGGAGAAGCTAGGGAATATAACTCATCACTATGTTTTCAACGAAAATAGCTATAGACTAAAGACGGGCTTGCCATGTTGCGTCTGTAAGAATGAAATTCTAGGGTGGAAAGTAATTCATCGCGTATAAGCTTGCAAAAACGTTTTTGAATTCTGGGATGTCTGGTAAGAGAGGATTGAGCTATCCCAGGCCAGATATGACAGCAGAAATTCTATTTGTCGGTCTGATCTGATTCTTTCAAAGATACGGTCTGGCAGGTGAGATCAGGTACTTTCTGGAGTATTATAAGAGGCTGACAATTTCTCCCCAGCGTCTTTCGCGATGGTTCGTGTATACGAGCTCCACTTGAGGTCTGCAGGGAAGGTGAGTTCCAATAAATGTCCAAAGCAATGAGCACAACCGATAATTTAGGGTCAAATGGCGTAAAATTACATAGTTTCTGAAGTATTTAATGTTACAAATCACTAACCACTTGGCGGCTATTTGTTTTAAATTTCTTATGCTATCAGTAAACCGTTGGAAAGCATTACATCGATTATCCGAGTTAATGCTTTCTCCATCATTGTGGCTGGCAGACGATAGCAAAAAAAAAAGTAAAATATAATAAAAATTGTTTATAGTTACTTTGTTCAAACTTTTTTTTTTCAATAAATTTAAACCGTTATTATCTCAAAAATAGTTTTCTTATAATCTACAAAAATATTATCATTATTATGCTTTTATAAGCTGTAGAAAATGTATGGATGAATCAATCAATATTGTTAAGATTGATTGGAGAAAGTGGAGTAAAGCAATTTTGCAGTGGTATAAAGAGTGTCTTTCGCGATTAATCGTATATATCAGTTCTACTTGAGGTCTGTTGGTGAACTATAGTCTCAAAATATGTTCAAAACACAGAGCTTCGTTAGGAGTCTAACCATTCATTGTGACTGTTAAGAAACTATTGAAAGTTACAAGCCGGTCTTTCCTCCATTGAGCTGTTAGAATTAGCTCAGATAAGGGATCAGCTGCTATACTACGCTAATTAATTGCTTTTCAAACTATCTGGAGTCTTCGGTATGACGTTAAACTACATCCAAGTTCTGGTTAAGACGATAAACTACGTCCAGCAGCAAGGCCTCTGATCAGGAGGCTTTGAGGAGCGTGGAACCACCTCGTAATTGCTGGTGTTCCCAGGTCCACCCTGACCCAGGGTGGTAGCACCTGTTAGGGTCCCAGCTATGAACAAATAGTTAACCCCGAAAGTGAGGTAAAAAAACATTATAAAAGTGTAAAAATCGGTTTTAATACCAGAAATACTTTGTAAAAATTTATTACCAGAAATAAATTTTTGAAGAAAAAAAAAACATTGAAAAAAAATATTACCAGCAATATGTATTTGAAGAAAAAAAAAATATTACCAGCAATACATCTTTAAAATAATATTACCAGCTATACATTTTTTAGGAAAAAATATTACCAGAAATAGATTTTTGATAAAACAAAGTATTACCGGAAAAAAAAAAGTTGACATAATTACAGTACCTCTTCTCAGAAATAAAGACTATATTAAAATATAACGTTTATGTTATGTTTATACAGAAAGATCCTGAAGAAGGCCGGAGCATACAACGGATGAAACGTCGTTAATATGACATCAATAATCGATGAGAACAACAGTCCGAACAATGTAAATAATGTAAATAAGTACAGTACCCTAACCCTAACCTATTGAAGTTGATATGCCGTAAAACACAACAAACCAAATCAAACTATCTGATATGGCGTATCAGCAGCATTTTTCAATTTTTTTTTTTTTTTGGTAAGTGCTACAACTTTTTTTTTTTTTTTTTTTTTTTTTTGTAAGTTCGATTTCAGGGTCATTTTGAACGTATCTGTAATAATGCTGAGGACCCAATGTCTTATGCCTTTTAAGGCCAGTCATCATTGACGAAACAAATCTCTCCAGTGTGTCAAGGACCGGTACCATATTTTGTATCATATAATTATTTAATAACAACCCGAGAAAACATTATTTGGACATTGGTAGTATTATTCATTTATTTTTTTTTATTTCCTGGAATCTCTCCGTCAACCGGCAGATGATAACTCGAATACCTTCACCTGTAGGCGTACCACACTTTGAATAGCCCGGATCTACATTCTCGGCGTGTTATCGGAGAATCTAGGCGACTGTATATGAAGGTAAAGCAGTGAGCCTCTTTCAGTATTTTCAGATACTTGTAAAAAAAACTTGATATCCCTTCTTAAACGTATGTTAAAACATACGAGCCTTTACAGGTGTGGATACCATGACATGGCACGTGGAACTAGAGCAATGTACTCCTGTGGACTAAATAAAGGGTCCGGTTCGAAATTCTAACGTTTATCACCCGAAGAAGGCAAAAGTATACAACGGCAGAACGGTCGTGAATATTGCAATAAAGATGAGAACAACAGTCCGAACGATGTAAATAGTGTAAATTGTTACAGTATATAGAAATAAAGACAGATCCTGAAGAAGCCAGAGCGTACAACGGCCGAAACGTCGTGAATATGGTAATAAAGTTGACATGATAAGTCCGAACGATGTAAATAGTTACAATACATCTTATAAGAAATATAAGAAGGCCGGGGCGTAAAATTTTCAAAACTTCGTGAATATGGCAATGTAGATGAGAACAACAGTCCGAACAATTTAAATAATGTAAATAATTACAGTACTTCATCTCAGAAATAAAGACTGATATTAAAATATAACGTTTATGTTATGTTTTTATAGAAAGATCCTGAAGAAGGTCAGAGCATACAACGGATGAAACGTCGTTAATATGACATCAATAATAGATGAGAACAACAGTCCGAACAATGTAAATAATGTAAATAAGTACAGTACCTTATCTCAGAAATATAGACTGATATTAAATATAACTTTTATGTTATGTTTATATAGAAAGATCCTGAAGAAGGCCGGCGCATACAATGGCTGAAACGTCGTTAATATGGTAATAAAAATAGATGAGGACAACAGTCCGAACAATGTATATAATGTAAATAAGTTCAGTACCTATCTCAGAAATATAGACTGATATTAAATATAACTTTTATGTTATGTTTATATGGAAAGATCCTGAAGAAGGCCGGAGCATACAAAGGCTGAAACGTCGTTAATATGACATCAATAATAGATGAGGTCAACAGTCCGAACAATGTATATAATATAAATAAGTTCAGTACCTCATCTCAGAAATATAGACTGATATTAAATATAACTTCTATGTTATGTTTATATAGAAAGATCCTGAAGAATCCCGGAGTATACAACGGCTGAAACGTCGTTAATATGGAAACAAAATTAGACAAAGACAACAATCCGAACAATGTAAATAATTACATACCTCATCTCAGAAATATAGACCGATCCTGGAGCATACAATGGTTGAAACGTCGTGAATATGGCCACAAAGATGAGAACAACAGTCTGAGCAATGTAAATATTTACAATACCTCATCTCAGAAGTATAAACAGATGTGAACATATTAAGAGGTACGAAAATTTTGTTAGAAACAAAGAAAAGAGGGATTAAAATCGACGGAATACCATTCCTTCTATCAGGCTAGTTAATGTGGAACAATCTCCTCTTAGATGAAGAAGAGATTTGAAGTTTTAGAGAAAATGGAGACAAACAAAAGGACACTTATACTTAACATCAGGAAGAGAGAGCTACAATTTTTCGGAACATAATGAAGAAAGAGGGCTTGGAAAATTTGACACTCACAAGACAGTTTGAGAAATTCCTTTTTTTTTTAAACAAATCTCTTATAAAGTTTCCCATATATTAACAACACGAGAAAGAATTTAAATATATATATATATATATATATATATATATATATATATATATATATATATATATATATTCCTGGCAAGCAATCGTTGACAGGGTGCGGCAGAAACACCTCCCCGAAATACCCCCACATAATCGCCAGACATTAGCTACAGGTTGAGGTAGAAATATCAGGCAAGAGAGACAAAGGAAAAAAGCGCGCAAGCTACCAAACGAGGCTGTGTAAATAGATGACAGGACACGGTTTAGGAGAGATAGCAAAATGTCATAATTTACTAAGAGCTACAAAGGACAGGAAATTGTGGAGAGCCATGATCGCCAACGTACTGAAAGGATACGACATTGAGAAGAAGGAGAGAGTAATATCTTTTTTTTTCTGTCTGATTAAAGCATTTATTGAGACGACATCTCAGCAATGGAAAACAATCTATCAGCTTTCCTAACAATTGAGCTATGTTTCACAAGTGATCATTGAGGCGAATATTTCAGGTGAAAGCCATTCTCCCGTAATGTTTGGACGTTGCGATAACAAGGATGGCGGATCGAGGCTGGGCTGTGGGTGGGGATGTTGAGAAAAGAGTAGAAAATCAATCCCTTTTGAGTTGTGTTCGATTTGTAAATGGCGGATACACTTGGTTGGAGTACCAATTAACCCTTGGTGACCCTATTGAAAGCAGTGACCTTACAATCTGACACTGCAGCCCACTAAAATGACGGATCTGCACTACTTTAATAAGCGTCTGTTGTTCCTTGCCAATGTGATATTCAGCAAGCGGCTCTCCCATCCCTGAAGTCAAAAAAGTGTGCATGATTAGTGTCCCCGGTATGAGCCACGTATAAGGGTGTGTGTACGAGCTTATATGGTAGGGGTGTGACACTCAAACAGCTAGAAATCCGGGAAGAAAGACAATGACAGTGAGGCAGAAGGAGAGACAGAAAAGAGAT